AATAAATATCTTTCATACAATTTTTTTAATTTTTAAGGTATCTACAATTTCTTTTTCATCATTTGATGAAGATAATGGTATAATATTAGTCGTTAAAACTTTTTTTTACTCTAGATATTTTTTTCTTCGAATATTTTTTTTCACATAAGCGTTTTCTTTTAATGAGAGATTCCCCGTTTGATTGTAGAGATATATTAATGTTATCAATAGCTTCTTGATTAATTATATGAAGGGGAGAATCAATATCTACATTGTCATTTGAAGTATAAGGCGTGTTTACTAATTTTTGTCGCCATGAAGAGCATATTAACATATCTAAATTGAATGGTAAATTTTTTTGGGTCATCCAGGGTAGAATCTTTCTTAGATTCTCGCGATAATAAGCATGTCTCTGTAGATTAAATGGGTTGCAACATTTTAATATTTGGTACGTCCATCTGTATAGAATAAAATTTTAATTGATCTATACCTAGAATACATGCATTTGCACTCTCAAAATCCAGATTGTTATTGGTAGACAGACGATAAAATTAATCTGAACGGACAGGTTAAAATTATTTAGCAGAAAAAGAGATTGTTTTAAACAATTTATTTTGTAAAATATAATCGAATATATGCCTAATAAAATATTCGTTTTTACTGCAGCTGTTCTAATAAGTCATTCGCTCGCCATAGTAGCAAAGTAGAGATCTAAAAAATGTAAAATATGTTAAGGATAGTGGCAGGGGGGGGAGGGCAGAACTGGAAAATTTTATCACAATTTTATAAACGTATTAATATTTCCATTTTCCTTAAGAATAATATTTTTTAACAATTAGCGCCATCTACTTCTTTCTTCAATTTTTGGTAAAATGGTATATTTCGGAAAAGTCGATAGCGTCGCTAAGGTTTTGACATCGTATATATATTTATAAAAGGTGTCTAAATAAAAAGCAATTAAAAAAATTAACAAACTCACTTAAAAATACAGGTAAAGCAATTTAGGTAAACCGGATGTAAAAAGCCTATAATGGCGCCAATATTTATTTTTTTTTGTTAGCCCATTAGAGAATATTTTTACCTAAAAATTGATATATTATAATTTTTTTTACTATAAATAGTTTTTGAGATATAAGCATTTTAAAAATTTTACAGATTCCAAAGTGGCTCTTTTTTGTACCTTTGAGCCCCTATATCTCGAGAACCAAGTGTGCTAGCCAGCTAAAATAAACGGCTTTCTCATTCTTTTACCTATCTAAATAATTCCAGAAATATTTAACAATTTTAAAAGGGGCCGGCCGAATCGTGATCGATTTGACGTGGAATGGCCCATTTACGTACCTTTCAACATCACTTAAATCCCTACATCCAAGAATTTTAAAATAAAATATGTCCTATTTACATTACTCAAGTATATCGTAAAGAGATATGGAGGCGAGAATTGCAGATATAATAGATAAAGCCCTTCACTTAACAATTGTATCAGATGGCTGGAGCAACATCAGAAATGAGAGTATTATTGATTTTATGGTGATGACGCTTGATACAGTATTCTACAAATTTTTAAATACTGAGGAAAATTGCCATACGACAGATTGCATTGCTCAGGTTAAAAATGTAATTCATGAATTGAATCCGGAAAAAGTATATTTTTTAGTTACTGAATCGCTACCATAAAAGCAGCCTGGAAAATTGTCAAAATTTTCAAGAATCAGCTGAAGTATTTTCCCGTAATAAGAATCAATATGGTACAACATCTACATTAAGTACAATTAGCCAAACAAGATGGGCATCGTCAAAAAAATGTATGGAAATACAAATTAAAGTAGTCCTTATTGTGTCATCATTTATTCCACATAACAAAATTGTTATAGCTATCAATCATAAAAACATGTGAAAATCAAATTTAATCCAGTAGATTGTGCCCCCACAATAATTTTGCCTGTGAACGTCCAGTTGAATGGTGCTCGACCATTCTGTATGCTCTCAAAACTTCTCCCATAGCTTTCTCTCGTTCTTTAATATTTTTTATAGTGTCAAAATATCGACTTTAAAGTGTTTGTATTGTTATTTCAGCTAACCCATTCGTTGATGGTAAGGTGTTGAATGTATTAATTTAATATTTTTCTCTAAACGGAATCTTCAAAATTTTCTAGAAATAAACTGAGTGCCATTATCGGACACAATTTACCTTGAAGTTCTAAAACGTGCGAACCATTTCCTTAACGCTCTGATCATAGTGGTAGACATGGTATCTCTCATCAACTCGACCTTAAACTAGAGGTTTACATTAGGTGGGGTAAAAATATTTTTAACATTTAACGGGTAGCGGGCGGGTTAAAAATTTTTTAAGTTAACGGGAGGGCGTGGGCGGGTAAACCTTTGATATTTTTAGGCCAAATGAGCAGAACAGACTTTAATTTATTAAAAATAATACTTTTATTTCATAATATTGCATATTATATATGTTTAATTAAAATTACATTTAAATAAATAAAGAACCAGGCTAGCCATATTTTTGGTAGTCCTTTTATCACCAAATAATTTCAAAGGTTTGTGATCTGTTAGCAATATAAATTTTCTTCCAAAAATAAACGAATGAAAATTTTCCATTACAAACAAAAATGTTCGTGTCTCTTTTTCTATTGGTGCATCATTTTTCTCTGACTCCAAAAATGTTCGGAGCAAATGCGATAAGTTTTCTAAAACCTTTTTTAACTATGTGAAATAGCAGAGTTCCAAAACTAGTATTAGAGGCGTCACATTCAAATATGATTGGCAAGATTGAAGAATAGTGAATTAAAGTTTTATCTGATGACAAAAGCTTCTTTATTTTATTTAATATATCCTGGACCAACCCCAGAAACTTTTAATGGTTGTTAATTTATGCACTGAAGTGGCTATATCATGTAAATATGGTAAAAGTCTATCGTGATAATTCACAAGTTCTAAAAAAGATCGCAATTGGTGTATATTCTTAGGAGTTGGTATCCTTCGAATTGCATATTATATGGTATATAAGATAAATGGTTTAATGTAACCTTTAAATTACAACAGATCCTGATTTTTTCATTTGTTTTGCGCACGTTTACTATTAGAGTAGGCCACATCATACCGGTTTTTTTGGGCCAATCTCCTTCAATATTCCTGATTTAATCAACCAATCGAGTTCTAATTCAATTGGTTTTCGTAATGCAAGGTACTCTACCTGCTGGGTATGATTCCGGCCTTGCTGCCTCACTAAGATGTGTGCCAACTTTAAAATTGTTGATTGATCATATATAAATTTAAAGAATTAATCTTAAATTTGAATAGTTAATCTGATATTATAAATTGATGTGTTTGATATAATTTAACTATTCACAAAAACGTGATATTATATATTTTTCAATTAACTTTTGTATATATATGATATATTTTTAGTTCTTTTAGATATAGAATAATAATAAAATATTTTAAAAAATAATTAATTTGAATAGCTTATTTCATGGTGCCCCGGTTACAGTGGTACGATTTCGTTTTTCTTTCTCTTTAAAAAAAAATAAAATAAAGTAAAATAATAAAAGTTTTAAAAAAAAAAATTTAAAAAATATCCTTACCTTGATTTCTTTTGTAAAAATAAAAAAAGAAAATTCGTCGTTTGATATTGGAGATGATAAGAGGACATATAAAATTTTTTTGACTTTTCTTTTCGATAGTCAAAATTTTATCCAAATTTACAAAATTATAAAAGGTAAAAAAAAAAGAGAAAATAAAATATATATATATAAAAAGAGTAATATGATAAAAAAATATTTTTTCCATCGGAATCTTTGCATTTTTACGTTATGATGTTTTGTTTTAAAGCTTATAATATACCTCAGTGCATAATTATCGATAAAATGTTGAAGGAAATGGGAGTATGTAATGAATTCTCTTATGTCCGTGATAATAGAATGAATGAAATTGTCTTTTATTTTAAGTCCTTACGAAAAATGATTGATACCTATATGTCTCTAAATGGGAAGCCCTATGTTTTTGATGAAAATAATTTCATTTTTATATCTTGTGAAATTACGGAATATTAAAATTTAAATATTAAAATTTAAATATCTTTACGCTTTACATATTTGACATACTATATTTATAGGGTATAGAAAATTTTCCCTATGTTACGTTATTAAATATAAATTTACGCGATGTTTAACCTATAGAATATCAATAAAATTTTTTTAATTTTCCTTCATAATTTAAAGTAGTATGAAATTCCTTGTGACGAATCAAGTCTAGATATTTATAGATAATTCAAATTAAAACTTAGTGGACTAAATCCTCTTTACGAATTAGAATTAAATTTTTCACAGACAAATTATATTGAAACTTAGTGGATTAAATCCTCTTTACGAATTTGAATTAGAATTTTTATAGATAAACTATTAAAACTTGGACCATATTCTCTTGATTAAAATTAAAATTTTTAGACAACTTAAATTTGATTTTAATGGACTAAAATGTTTTGCTTTTACGATTTTAAATATTGAAAGTTTACTTTACTCAAATAAAATTTTATCATGGACGAAAAATTAACTCTTACACACACTCAATATGTTCCTAAATTTCCCAAGTTATCAGGAAAATTATCTGAGACTTATCTAAACTTAATAGAAACATACTTTGAAGGACATATTGAGTCAGACTCATCTAAAGTTAGGACACTACTATGTAGCTTACCAATTGAGATTGTAGACCAAGTTACGTCGATATGTTCTAAAGCACAGTTAAAAGACTTTAATACTGTTTTTGGTAAATTGAAACTGTTAATTCCAAGTGAGGACATTAATGTAAATATAAAGAACTTTAACTTAGCGGTACAAGGTGCCGAGGAGTCCTTCCATACTTTTTATTTTAGAATTTCAAAACTTTATAAAAAATGCGATTTTGATAACGATACAAGAATGATTGAGAAATTAATAACTTGTTCTTTAAATGATAATATCAGAAGGAAGTTAAATAAACATAAGCACTAAGGCTTAGATAAGATGATGAAATTAGGAGTGGAGTTAGATGGCAGCAATAATAAACCAGACGTTAGCGATACAAATTATGTAGACAATGATAAAAAATTGGATAAAAATAAAAAATTTTACAATTTAAACATGGATAAAATACCATGCAAAAGTACTTTTAGTAATAATGAGAATAATTCTAATGATTATGAACATAATAATTTTAAAGAAAATAATTTTAATTATAATGGACGTAACACTCGTAGGGAAAATTTTGATTTTAAGAAGAGGAATTATAATGATTTTAGGCCTAATGATAGTGCTAGCCGAAACTATCAAAACAATATTTTTCGAGACAGTGAGGGTAACTCTAAAAATTTTCGTAATAACCAATCTTCGAATAACAATTCAAACTATTACGGAAGAAACTCCATATGGCACAACAACAATAATGCAAACAATTATGATAGAAACAATGCCTGGCAATACAATAACAATTCAAACAATTATAATAGAGGTACTTGGCAAAACAATAATTATAATGGGAGAAACAATTCCTGGTCTTACAACAATCAAAGAAATCAGAGTCAATATAATAATCTATATGGTTATCAATATCAATCCTACAATAACAACAATAATGGAGAAAATAATATGTGGAAAAATTATAATCAAAATATTAATCAAAGAAAACCATTACAATATAATGACATGAATCAAAGTAACATCAATTGTAACATGAACATTGAAGAGATTGTTGAAGAAAAAAATAACCCTACACAAAATAATAATGGTAGTGATTTTAATATCAACAATTTAACTGAGTTTAAACTTAATGATAATGCGTTCATGACTACTTTAAAAGTAAATGATGCTGCTGTTACTATGCAGGTTGATACGGGATCCAAGTTCACAATTATACCTCATGATATGGCTAAACAAATAGGTATTAAAGATCTTAAAAAGTCCACTCTACAACTCACAGCATATGATGGAAACTTAATCAAAATTATTGGCTTCACTTAAGTTAAAGTAACCTACGAAGGTATCACCAAACACTTGTAAGCCGTGGTCGTTAAATCTAATAAAAATGCGTTATTGGGACGTATGTGGATTAATGCCTTTAGTAATATTTTGAACAAATTTATAGCAAACATTGATACCAACTATGAAGATGAAATAAAGAAATTAATAAAAGATTGCGAATCTAAACTGACTAAAAAACCGATCAACAAAGGGAATGTCAAGATACATCTACGTAATGACGCCAAACCGAAAATCATACCACCTCGACGGTTACCTTATTCAAAGATAGACGCTGTTACTAGAGAACTTATGAGATGGATAGGAGATGGAGTCATTGAGCCGGTAACAGATGTCCGATGGGCAAGTCCGATAACCGCTGTCTACAAGGATAATGGGAGCGTTAGGGTTTGCGCCGACTTCAAAGACACTGTCAATCCAGCCCTTGAGGACTTCAGATACCCACTTCCAAGAATAAATGATCTTATCGCTAAGCTCAAGGAAGGGAAGAAGTTCACCAAGATAGATTTCAAGGATGCGTTCCTACAAATTTCCATCGATGAAACCTGCAGAGACATATTAACTATATCTACACACAGGGGGTACTACCGGTTTACCAGACTTCATTTTGGGTTAAAGACTTCATCTGCGATTTTTCAACAAATATATGGATCAAATTTTCGGTGACATGAAAGATGTCATATTTTATATTGATGATCTACTAATTACGGGAAGTAGTGACGAAGTTCATTTCAACAACATAAAGAAGGTTTTTGAAAGAAAACTATCTCATGGTTTAGTGCCTAATTTTGCAAAAAGCTTATTTTTCAAAAAAAGTCTAAGGTTCTTAGGACACGACATCGACGCCAAGAGGATCCACGCCAACCATGACAAGATCGAGGCGATCGTTAAAATGCCGGAACCAAAATCAGCCGCGGAATTGTCAACGTTTCTAGGTATGGCCGGGTACTACAGAAAATTTTTGAACAACTTCGCTGAAATAGCTGATCCTTTATACAAGATTGTTAACAAAGAAAAATGGGAGTGGAATTTGGAACACTCCAAAAGTTTTGATGATCTAAAGACATTGATTAGTCTTCCTCCAGCTTTGACGTACTTTAATCCTGAACTACCTATCGGAATTGCGACTGATGCATCTAAAAGAGGTTTAGGAGCTGTTTTGTTTCACACTGAAAAAGATGGCAAAGAAAAACCGATAGCTTTTGCATCAAGAACTTTAGCAAAATCCGAAACAAACTATACCAATATTGAGCGTGAAGCTCTGGCCATTATGTTTGCTATCAAGAGATTTCAAGAATACTTGATAGGGAATAAGTTTACTATTGTAACGGATCACAAGCCGCTAATCCATATTTTCACTAAAGGGCTCAAAGATAATAGCACCATGTCGTTGAGGTTACAGAAGTGGAGTATAATTTTTGGGGGTTACGACTTTAACATCAGATATAAAGCTGGTAAATACAATGTTGTTCCCGATTGCCTCTTAAGACTACCACAAGTAATTGATGATGACGTTATTGATGATATCGCGATTATAAATGACTTTGGCGATATACCTCTTAGCTTTGACCGAATACGTGATGAAACGTCCAAAGATTTTGAATTATCTCAAGTTATGAGTGACATAAGAAATAATGTGCCTATCCAAAATAAAAATTTATAAAAATATTGAATACGAACTAAGTATCATTAAAGATTGTCTGTACAAAAGCGACAAAATAATAATTCCGTCAAGTCTGAGAAAGAACATACTGAAGGCGTTACACGAACGTAATTTGGGAGCAGGTAAAATTAAATCCTTAGCCAAAGATCGTATGTGGTGGTCTGGTATGGTCAACGACATTGATTTGGAAGTCAAAAGTTGCGATGATTGTAATATTTATCATGACAATCCAAAGAAAATACAAAATCCATGGGTAGCAGCAACTAAACCATTTGAAAGGATACACATAGATTATGCGGGTCCGTTTTTTACAAAGAATTGGTTGATAATCGTTGATGCTTACAGTAAATTTCCGGTTATAGTTCCGGTAAAGAGTATTACGACTGAATTCACGTTAAAAGAAATTTATTAAACTATTTCACTATTTGGTATACCTGAAACCATTGTTACAGATAATGGTACCAATTTCACGGGCAAAGATTTTGAAAAATTTTGCAGCAATTAAGGTATAAAACATGTACTAACGTCGGCCTACCATCAGCAATCTAATGGACAAGCTGAACGTATGGTGAGAACATTTAAAGCTCATATGAAAAGAAACATAAAGATTGACTTAGAAACTGCGCTGGACAGATTTTTGTTCAACTATAGAAACACGCCGAATGACACTACGGGAGTTACACCGTCCAAGAGAATGTTTAACCGCGACATTAGAATAAAGTGGGATTTATTAAAACCTTTGGAGGATAAAGTTGGTGAAGTCTTTATGTCGTTACCACGAAATCGAACTTTTAATAGAGGAGACTATGTTTGGTATAAGAAACAGGGTGATGATACATGGTGCAAAGGCAGCATCAAGCTTAAAGAGAGTAACACCATGTTTCAAGTTTATACTGATAAAGAGATAGTAAGAAGGCATCTTGAACAGTTAAGGAAAAGAGAATGTTACAACAGTTTAAAATATTATGAAATTGACCCTAAAAATTCCTCTAAGGGGGAAGTGTGGACACGAAGAATGAGATTAAGATACCAATTACTAGACCAATAAGAATTAAAAATAAACCTGATTACTTAAAAGATTACGTGCTCAAAATTTAAAAATTAAACGCTTATAAAAAATGTAAAACGCAAAAAATATAAAACGCTAAAAATATAAAACGCTATGATTAATAAAAAATAATATAATAATCATTATGATTTATCATTCCTTATTTTATTCCTTATTCCATAAATTATCATTCCTTATTACATATTTTATTGTTCCGAAATTCAAAATTTTATTCGTGCATATTATTCATATATTTGATTTGATCAACTATTCCAAATTACATATTCCGATTTATTCCAAATTCCAATATTCGACTGGATTAATTATGAAACATGATAATAACAATTTTGAGAAATGTGAACAACATACGATACGGATATCAAGCATACAAATAACGTACAAACTCACGCAACTCTAATAAACGATTTTATCAAACCTACGTGATAGAATAAAGCTTACGAGAACATTTGAGACTTATGCGCTAGCCAAGATAAAACCGAGTACAATCGAAACGGGAAAAAACTTCTGGGACAACAAGCTCTCGATGACTGCTGAGAAGAAGCTTCGTTCTTTGTAGAAGAGGGGGAATGTTGATTGATCATATATAAATTTAAAGAATTAATCTTAAATTTGAATAGTTAATCTGATATTATAAATTGATTTGTTTGATATAATTTAACTATTCACAAAAACGTGATATAATATATTTTTCAATTAACTTGTATATATATATACTGATATATTTTTAGTTGTTTTAGATATAGAATAATAATAAAATATTTTAAAAAATAATTAATTTGAATAGCTTATTTCAAAAATCATTACCCAGTCCTGGCTTATCGAAAACACTGGCAAATTCTGTAGGGAAGCAATTTGTTTATTTATACCTTTACTTGTTATACTACGTATTGTAACTTGTTATGGAATAAACTCATTAAATGCCAGCATCCATGGTAGTTCAAACGGTTGTATGTCATTTGAACGGGTAAACACAATTGGTAATGATCGGCCTATATTTTCAAGTTGCACTTTTACAATAGTTTCACTAAGGACTTCCAGCTGTTAATTGCCATAAACCAACAATGTTGGTGTAAGTTGGTCTGCTAATTTCATCCTAATATTGTTTTCCAATTACAGATACCTATGCACCGGTATCATAATCAAATTCAATCGGTACTCTGTTTATCTTAACAGATATCTTAGCATTGTTTTTACCAATTTGGTAGATGTTGTTATTTGAATCTGATGATTCATTATCATCTTTATGAATAACATGTAGCTGATTTTGAATAGTGCATCATTATTGTTCAATTTACTAATCTATATACTTAAAATTGTTGTTATTATTATTATTATAATAATTAAAATTTCCCTTTTCTTTAATATTATGTGGGTATTTTGATTAAAATGATTTCCTTGATTATTCCCGAATTGTTCCTTATGTTTATTGACCTTTTTTTTAATCATAATATTTGTAACTTCATTCTCAGCTCTTTCCATTGCCAGCCATGTTTAAAACTTATTAAAAGTTCAACCTTTCTCCCAGGTCATTTATTCTATTTGGAAATATTGGCGATTATCTTTTTTCAATGCCATTTTAATTCAAGCCAATATCTGATTCAATCTTCCATCAAGGTCAGATTCGAACTTACACTCTTGTACCAATCTTTTAAGACGACCTAAACTAAGCCACTGCTTCGTCTTCCCCTCTTTCTATTCGAATAAACTTAATCTAATTTTCCAATCCTAATAATATTAATTGCCTCCAATCTATTACCTGGTATTTAGCTTATACCCTGCGATCCTTGCAATAAATTATATATTGGACAAACTGGAAGAATTAAAAGGATAATTTATGAACATTCTTATAAATTAGAGAATAATGAATCTTCCCTATCGTTTATTTGAATACAGTATTAATCCCAAACTTACACTTCTAAAATACAAATATTTTAACAAATTATTAATAATTATAAAAAGTGGATAATTAAAAAGACCTCATAATCTTAAAAATAAAGTGAAGTTATTAAATTGAAATTGTTTGTAGTGAAAATTTAAAAATATTTTATGTTATCAATAAAATAAAAACTTGACTTTCGACTGATAATTCTATACTATAATCTATAATTTATTTCTTTGTTTTCTAATTTATTATTATTTTGATATAGGTATTAGAGATGTTCCACGAATAAAGAAACCTTCATTATATTCGACCGGTTACTTTGACAAAAATACATTGAATAACATGTTGTTCACTGTCTTTACCGCAAT